GTGTCTCACACGGCTCCGGGGGGTGAACAAAGGCCTCCTGTAGCGAATCGATGCGTTTAAAAAATACAAAAACGCATCGATTCGCTACAGGAGGCCTTTGTTCCCCCCTCCGGAGCCATGTGAGACGTTTTTTTTATGGATGGGCGCTTTTTATTTAACTTCTTTTGGACTGATACATGCAACACCTGCTGAGTGGCATTAAACAGCTTGAAAGATCAAAGACAATTCTTCCTCTACTGGATTCGTCTGAAAGAAGAAAGTCATATACACCTAGGATGACTTGAGGGTGAGTAATTTTAAATTTTTGTGGGCTAATTTTCATTTTTGGGTGAGCTAACCCTTTAACTCCCTCAACAAGTCTGAAAAAATCTGTGGAGATCAGAAACTACAACCTTCCCTATTTGAACGCATTTAATACTTTGAGTACAAAAACTCTGTGAACCCTCACCTGAAAGCTATAGTAAGCACACATAAGCATTCACAGGCTGTAAGAACAACTAAAAATAAAACTGTCAATCAAAATGGTGGATTGAGGACTAGTAAAAGCTTTTCGTAGTGTTCATTTAATGCTGTATTCGTCTGTCACAATAATACAATGTCTTTGAAAATATTAATTTAGGGACTTTTGCTTCATTGTGATTTATTTGTGCTTACGCTTGATTATAATGTAATGCATTTGATTATTTGAAATAATAAACATCTATTACATATTTTATTAAATATTATTTTTTTTTAAATTCAATATTAAAAAATTATAAATTGATATTCAGTGCAGTACTTGCCTGTCACAGTAATGTAATGTATTTGAATAATCTTCATTTATGGGCTTTTTTGTCATCAAATATTAATGTATGCAATTCACTGGATTTATTTGCTTATATGCTTGCACATAATGTAATGCATCTCATTATTATAATATTTGAGAATGTATTACATGTTATTAGACATTTTATTACATATTAAATATTATTAAAAATTATTGAAAATTATTTTATTATTTATATTCCAAATATTATTTTTTTTTTAAATCAATTGACACTAGCGAGTCTCCTTTCAACTTATTAGATGTTTGTACTCAAATATAGCACTTCAAACTGAAAGCAATGTTTTCCAGATGATGCACTTCTTCACATGTGAGCTCACGGTGTGTCCTTTCAGCAACTTCCTTACTACATTGAAATTGATTTTGGTTGTCCTTCATTATCTACACGTGCAGTGCATCAACAGCAAATTAAAATGCATGAGACCACATCCAGAAGTTCATTGTCTACCTGCCACTGTGAATGACCACAGCTGTGTCTGCTAAACCTAAAAATCAATATCACAAACTACTGGGTGTAATGAACACAGTTGTGCATGCATTCTGCAGATTTCCTTTATGATCGTGGACTAACCTGAAAGGAAGCTGGTGTTTCCCCCCTCAGAGCCCTGTTTGCGCAGACAGAAAGGGCTGTCATGGTTCTCCGGTATGCTGCGACAACGCTCGTTCAAAAGCTCTATCAGTCGCCGCCTCCGCCGGAAATTCATCCTGAATTGGTAAAGCAGTCCGCCATCCACAAAATGGTGCTTGTTAGAAACTAGGGAGAAAAAATTAGAAATGCATAAAGAGAAGAGGTCATATGTCAGTTTACTGGGATTGAAGACGTGATCTGTCAAGCCACAATGGTCTAAAATCTAGAAGTGAAAGGCAAAAAAATACAAAAGTCAACACAATATTAATATTTTGGATTTTAACTTTAATATAAGTGAAAAAAAAAAATACAAAACTCAACACAATATTAATATTTTGGATTTTACCTTCAAGGCTTTTTTTTTTAATTGAAGAAAAACATAATATTTATTAAACATATATATTTATATTTCATTTTATCGGTGGTCATTCTCAAGTGATCAGCACTGCTGCTGTTGTATCAGTCAGTGGTTAGATCAGCGTAGCAGTCAAAAAACGGGACAAGGGAAGTCACGTACGGGACAAATCAATTAGGCCTAAAATACGGGACGTCCCGGCTAATACGGGACAGTTGGCAACCCTAAACACACCACAAGCAAAACTCTTAGCATCCTTAGCAATTCTAAAACCTAAAAGCCCGCAAAGAGCAGCATATGGTTTACAGAATCTCAGTAAGTCGTCTGCGGCTTGAGAAATGCACGGTGTTTTTGGTGCTATAAAAAGCCAGCCCATTTTATTTAACCATAAAAAGAGAGCAGAGATGGTGTAAAAATAAGTGCTAAAGCTAACGCTAACTGGTTTGCTAATGTAAACGTGAAGGATGAGAAATGTAAAGACAACAAGACATCAAAACTGACCTGATTACCTTAAAGATGATGTGTGTCATTTTTTATGCTGAAATGCCCAAATTAGTTGATGTATGTGGGATGTTTGAGCACAGAAGGGGGCTTTTCTTACCAGACTTTGGGTTGCAGAGCACAGGGGGGCTGCTGCTGAGTGTGGGGCTGCTGCTATAATAACCGCTGCTGCCACAACTACTGCTCATACTGCTCCGCCGTACTGCTGACACCACCTTTATCTCTTTAGTGGGGCTTACTGAGGGGAAGGACATTGAGAAAGACAGAAATAAGGTTAGATAGAGTCTGTATAAGAGGAAGTGAGAGAGAGAATAGAAATCAGTTAAAATACACACGCAACACTTTTGCCAGCTCAAAACATCATTCCAATAGTGCTTATGCAATGGTGATAGTGTTATGGTATGTCAACATCCGTTTTGTGTGCATTTACTAACTGAAATAACAGTTCAGATGCCTAACATCTGTTAGTGTTCTCCTTTTAACATAAATGTATTGTATGGCAAACAGAATCACGCACGAACACACACACGTTTAGCTAGCTATCAAAATAGACATACATTAGACTTCTAGCTATATACACGCTCAGAAAAAAAGGCTCAAAAGCTGTCACTGAGATGGTACCTATTCAAAAGGTACATCTTTGTACCTGAGGGGTCCATATTGGTGTTTTAAAGGTACATATAAGTACCTAAAGTGTACATATTTATACCTAAAAGGTAAAAAAATTTACTTTTTGAGAAGGTACTGCCACAGTGACAGATTTTGTACCTTTTTTTCTGAGAGTGTATAGAGCTAATTATAGATAAATGCTAACAATACCACTCTTCACATTTTTATAATAAAAAAAATGAGTGCTGTCAAACGATTAATCATGATTAATCGCATCCAAAATAAACGTTTTTGTTTACATAATATATGTATGTATACTGTGTATATTTATTATGTATATATAAAAACACACACATGCAGTATATATTTTGAACATATTTACATGTATATACATTTATATACATTTACATTTACATTTAGTCATTTTGCAGACGCTTTTATCCAAAGCGACTTACAATTGGGGAATACATAAAGCGATTCTTCTTAAAGAGGCAAACAGACACAAGAAGTGCTTGAAATACCAAGTTTTAGGCATTGTTCAAATAAGTACAAGCTAGAACGGGAAGGAATAAATAAAGGGAAAGAAAAAGTTTTTATTTATTTTTTATTTTTTTAAAGATGAAGTCAAGTAGCGTTTAAAGAGATTCGTTTTTTTCAGCTGTCGCTTGAAAATTGTCAGGGATTCAGCATTCCGGATAGGGGTGGGAAGATCATTCCACCAGCCAGGAACAGTGAACGAGAATGTTCTGGAAAGTGATTTT